GCAGGCCCAGAAACCTGCACCAGGCGAACCGACGGCGGAGAAACCCCGCTCGATACCTGCTGGATGAGATACAGGCATACCTCAGTTTAAGAGTTTAATTGGTTCCTGGAGACACCTCGTATTCCGAAAACTCGCATTCCGAAGCTAATTTCCCCATAAGAAATAAAGGGAAATGAATTAATCCGTTCCTGACTACCCCAAAAACCCCACATCAAACTAAATTTTTATACCTAATTCATCTAAATAAACCTACAAAACTATGTTCAAGTTATTACTTACCTTGCTGTTGAGTGCTGTAGGCGTATGGAAGATGGTGAGGAGGTGGGAGGAAGAGAGGAGTTACTGTTTGGAAGGGAAGTCCCCTTCCATTATCACATCAGGCAGTGAGGACTTCACTGGTATGCACACTCTGGCACATTTTGCCTGCATACCACTAGGACTTGCTTGTTTTACTAAGAATTTGTCTAATGACACTTGTTTTTCCCTACATTTTAACACTTGTCTGCAGTAAGACATCACATTATCATTTAAAAGGTCAATGCAACGGCCTGCTACAGCTTTATCTGGGTGAGTTTTTTCAACAAAACTTTGCAGTTCTTCCCATACTTCACACATTTTCTTAATCAAGAAGGGACATCCTCTACTGCCTCTACTCACAGCTATTTTCTTAGGTTGAACCTTACCAATGGCTTTCTTGAGACCCATGGCAAGATATATAATGACAACTTTTATGCTCAAATGGCCAAAAAACTGATAAAAAACTGTAAATCCTTGTGAAGAATTCAGGTGGGATAGTCACTGGACACGAGACACTGGTAAACTGAGGCGCGATCCCCATGCCACCACGCGCCAGTCGGCCTGTACACGTATCAACAAACTCGCGTCCCGAGGTAACCCTCGCCTTCCGAGACATATTTTTGGAGTAAATCCTGCTCGTCTTCCAAAAAACTCGCATACAGGGACACTCGCATTCCGAGGTACCACTGTACTGGGAGCTCTTTTACACCTGAAGCCCGGCCCAAGGTCAGGCCAGACCGGCCAGAGGATGGCCCACCAGGCAGCTGCGAGGAGCAGTCCACCGGCCCACATACCCCCACAACCAGGACGGGCCGGAACTGCCATACGAAAACAGGCCAGTGCGCCCTGGAAGTCCACGGACGAACCAGCAAGAAGTCTTATGCTCGCAAGTAGGTCGTGTAACAAGCACAGACCACTGATGGTAATACAGTGTTCCCCAAAAGTGCCAACAGCACCACTGCACTCCACTGGTACTATCCCGCAAGTTCTACCAGATAGGCGGGACCCAAGAGTCAGAGCTCAAATCCTGCAAGCACAGCCAGGAGCCTTACCAGGTGAGTACAGAACCAACCCTACAACCCCCACACCTCACAACATTAAAAAGGGAGGGTCCCCTGAATGACTCCAGCATGGGTTGGACATGCACATGAGGGGGACAGGAAGGGGTGATAAAGGGACAGTCACTGGTGTGCGAACGGTCTCAGTCGTACAAAATATATACTTAAATAAAGACAGGTATATAAACACCGCCGCATCCAGCGCCCGGCCAAAAGACGCCAGACCGCAGAAACTCACCTGGCGAATGGTGGCACGAACTGGACACGACTCAACCGTGCCCAGAAGAACTTGGGAGCACCGCCAGGTGAAGACGCCAGAGCCGGACCCACAGGAGAACGGAGAGGCGGAGGCGGTCCACACCCATGACACAGGGAAAACCGCGGTGTCCTCCCCACAACTGGGAACCAGGACACCCCCGGCGCGAAGGGGCACATACCGCAGCCAGGGAGAAGAACGAGAGGCGAAGCACTGTAGCAAAAAAAGGGCGCAAAACCCCAGCACTGAAACACCGCCCAGACCAAAACAAACTCCACGGCGCATGCGCATAACACGCTGGCCGAACAGCACACCCTCCCTGCGGGAAGGCGCCAGCCAGGACTACTGCACGAGAAAAGGAGCCAAAAGAGGAAGCAGGAACAAGAAAACCGGCCAAAGAAGCAAAGAGCCCAAAAGGAACCCAATCGGGCGACAAGTAGCCCAACCGGGCGACAAGTAGCCCAACAGGGCGACAAGTAGCCCAACAGGGCGACAAGTAGCCCAACAGGGCGACAAGTAGCCCAACAGGGCGACAAGTAGCCCAACAGGGCGACAAGTAGCCCAACAGGGCGACAAGTAGCCCAACAGGGCGACAAGTAGCCCAACAGGGCGACAAGTAGCCCAACAGGGCGACAAGTAGCCCAACAGGGCGACAAGTAGCCCAACAGGGCGACAAGTAGCCCAACAGGGCGACAAGTAGCCCAACAGGGCGACAAGTAGCCCAACAGGGCGACAAGTAGCCCAACAGGGCGACGTAGCCCAACAGGGCGACAAGTACGAGGAGCCGACAGACGTTCCAATAATGCGGGAAGCAGCGAAAAACCTTCCCGTACCCTCGAGAACACAGAAGCCAACACTAGTCCCGAAGGCACACGAAGGCGCAGGCGCACCCGAGATCAGAAGTCACGCAGAACCCCATCGAACGGGGAAACATGACAAAAACACCGTCCCAAAAAGGGGGGGGGAGGAAACATCCACCCACAGGATGGAACCAACCGACTCAAAGGCCAAGGAACCGAGCCCGGGGAGGGGCCGACGTCCAACAGCACGTACGGCGAGTGGGGAGGAAAGACCCCACTCCGCGTAACCACAAGCCCCGCCTAGAGGGGGATAAAAACCCCCACGGGGTCTAACGGGGCCAAGGCCCCCCCCAAGTCAGCCCCTCCCCAGCCCCGGGAACCTACACGACAGGCCCCGGGGCCGAGCCGTTCCCCCAAAGCCCCGGCCGTACCAGAAAACCGGGGCAGCCGTGAAAACACTAAGGAAGGGAGCCCACTGGCAGACTCATACAACACGGCTGGAGGAACAGGCCCAAATGCCCCCGCCACTACCCCGGAAGGGGAATTCCCCGAGACTGCCCGAGTCTCAACACCACCAAAAACCCCGCCTCGAACCTACAGACGGTAAGGAACCGGATGCAGACAGGAAGGGTGAACCAGGGGAAAGACAAGGGGGCGTGGATGGAACCGAAGCAACCAACACCCCCAAGTCCCAAAACGAACTACAACGGGGCAGCCCCGGGGCTCCCGGGGAGGAAACCACGAGAACGTTGCCACCACCAAGGCTCAAGTGCAACGACCCTGCTGCCCGCACCCGCTTTGTTAGCACAACTGGGTAACCGAGCCACAACGAGCAACAAACTCGCAGGACTCCGGGTCGAAGGTGTCACCGACCCCACAGGCAGCAGACGGAGGCAAAACAGAGAGTCACCCAGAGACAAAAGGTGAGAGCAACCCTCAAACTTGCTGGAAGCGAGGGGGGGACTCTGGGGTCACATCCATCGGACCCGCGCGCCCCCAGGGGTTTCCCAGGGTCCCGAGCGTTTACTTTAAGAGGACTCGCGCTCAGGTAATCCCAGGCAGGGTACTGCTAACCGGCACCCAAAGCTACCAAACAACTTTCTAAGAGCTGAACCCCCGGGACGTGTACACTCACGGGGACCTAGCAGGGGTACCACCAGAAAATACTCAGAACACAAGGGACACAAGGGGCAAGAACGAAGGCAGACCCCCCACCAGGTAGATAAACAAAAAGAAAAAGAAAACCCCGCAAGAGGACAGCGTACCCAAGCGGAACAGAGCCGGCCGCTATGATTGGTAAAGACAAGCTGCACAGTACCCCGCGCCCCACCAGTGCAAACACTGCCCCTTACTCTAAGGCGAACAAGGGAGACAGAACACCCGAGCACACAAAGAGCGGCCGAAAACCAAGCAGTAAACGGCCAAGCAGGGGCAGGACCCAAGGAACTTGTGGAAGGTGGCCCCAAGCCCCAAGGGCAGTACTTACAGGGCACCTAGGGAAGGGATCCCTAGGCGCATGCAGCCCGAGTACTGAAGAATCACTCCCGGCTCATGCACCACCTAGAAAACAGACACCACACTCTAGGTACAGTGCTGAAACAACCACTGGAGCCGGAGCACATAACCATTGCCTATAGCATCAGCCGAAGAACTGATGGGTGGATAGCCGGCGTGGGAGGTCTGGGGCTCCCCCTTCCCCCTCCCGGGGAGGGGGGAGCTGCGCAGACAGCGGCGCGGTGACGTATGACGTCATACTAGTTTCCTTGTTTTCTGTTGAAGAGTTCTATCCACTAGTTCGGCTTAGGTAGCAATTTTCACCAGAATAGGGGTTTGTTTTGGAATGCTTACCTTTCTGGATGCTTGACCCGGTCGATGGCAGACATAGAATGCTTCCAACCACACGGGGGTTTCTATAGGCCATTGCTCCCCTTGCCTCTCTGAGGGGGCCAGGTTCTGGCTCGTGGTCCCCGGTAGGCCCTAGAACTCCATACACATGACTGATGCCAAAGTCTGACATTAGCATATCAGCCGGTAAAGCTCCGGGGAGCCGACGGGGCTCCCCCCAGAAAAGCTTGATAGTCAACCGTTTGCTCAGTCTTGACCGTACAAACGCATGTCACAGCACACAGCAGCTGAGGAATTGCTTTCAGAGGAGGAGGAGAGGAGGATGTCCCTAGCTGTGACAACCTGCATGTATAAACATGGCAAGGAGATAGGGAAAAAGGTGGTGGAAGAGGGGAGGAGAAATAGATTGAAGGTTGAATTTATCTAAGGTATGGTCATTCCTAGCACCCTGTAATTAATGGTATATCAGTTTACTGACTATCTAGAGTTAGGCCTTCTGAATACCTTTTAAATTATATTCACATGTAGGTGTTTTGTTGAGCAAAGACTAGAAAAAGAATAAACCTTGGAGGTCTCTGGAACCTAACACTGTTTCCCATATATCTGTGAGTCTGATTTCTGTGGGTTTTCATTTCCATTACATTTACAGGAATGCAACCCATTGCAAATTGAATGTTGTGTGTAAATACATTCTTACCTTAGATGTGAAACACTTCTGTGAAGTAACAACTTTAAAGTGCTTGCCTGCAACACTGTGAACTGGTAGCCAGCCTCAGCAAGCTTGACTCGAATCATCTCCCAAGCTTCTGTTCTTTTGCACTCTTTGTCTAATATAAAATAAGCCTTTGGGTATTCCTTAAGAAGCTGAATAAGGAGTCTGCTACACTTATTATCCCATGGGCCTGAAAGAGTAATGCATGGCTTGAAAATTATATACAGCATTAAATCAATGTCACGATTATCCATAGTTAACAAAATGTTCAGTTACTGGCATTACAGATCGAGCAGCTCCTTAACCACTTGTATGAGACAGGGAGGGAGGGGGGGTTGTAAGGGCACATATTAACTACCCCTCGTATACACACTTATACATTCAAATCACACACCCTTAGTTGTGCATAAATGTACTATATGGTTTAATTCAAATAATTTTTCCATGATCTCATTGGCATTTTTTCCAAAACTTTGCTCTTTCCTTTTTCTTTCTTTTTTGTTGAACTGTGCTTAGACAAAAGAAAAATTCCAGGATTTGAATTTATATACAGTACTGTACAGTAACTCAACTTTGCCTCTAAAAATATTGTTACTGACCTTAAAATAAGTGTAACAACATTTGACTAAGTTTTGTTACAGAGCTCTACAATTTGGTATAGAATTCCAAATAATACATATCTCAATGTTTCCAGAAAGCAAACTACAAATATTAAAACAAAATTAGAAAAAAAAAATGCTTGTCTGAACAAAGCACAAATTTTTTATAATACTGTAGAAAAAGAAATACCAAGACAGGAGTTGACTAGACTATATTGAAGATGATGCTTCCTTACGTAAATAGTCGCAAGTATAATGAAATACGTCGTCCCTTCTTGAGATAGGGAGGGACTACTACTTCAGTAGTTGAACTGTGTTTAAAGGGGCCCGGTGACTGAGGAGTATTTTTCAAATATGAAATATAGTGAAAAATTTGAAACAAATCTCTTGTTATTTGGCATCAGCGTTGTGAAATTTTCATCCCAATATGTTTGGGAATGGATTTTTTAGATTTTTTTTTAATAAATGCATGCAAAGCAAGTACTGTACAATGAAACATGCCTCAAGATAATAAAATAGCCACAGTGGCAAAGAGAGCCAGAGCAAAGATCCTAATACACAGCGATTTTGACCCCAAGGAAATAGATTGGTCGACAAAGGATCCTCACAGGAGAGATGAAATATGAAGAGCAATATTTGTGGATACTACAGACAAACACTTCCTGTGGCAGTATCAAGGGCCAACAAGACAGAGAGGTGGTGATCGACCAGCCACCGTACACCTTGTTTATGGTCTATATTCGCAAATATGTATAAACAGCATAGCACAAGTTCAACAACATAAAACTAAGAACAACATACCTAAGCGGTGGCTGTAGGGAGCATCATGACGCACTCTTCTGCCAAAAGTGTTGTCCTTCATAAGACGGTTAAGATATGCAGGATTATCATACATGTAAACATTGGCTGAAGGGATCTCGACACCTTCCATCATCATGCTTCCATCCGAGTGATCTGTACTTTCTACAGTATGCTCAACCACAGATTCCATCTCTTGGTCTATGATGCCAGTGTGTTCAATGGAATGTTCTGCTGGCACAACAAGTGTCCGATCAAATTGCATATCTGAGATATTTTTGGGGGGTGCCTTGCGTTTCATTCTCTCACCAAGAATGCTGGCTACTGCCTCCTCCATTGCTGCTTCAGACTCTGTTTCCACCACATCTGTTTTAAGAAAATAATAAATCTGATGTACAGAGCAACCTTGAAAATCCAGAATAAATCACATCGGTCCGTACCCAAATTATTTCTCCGTTTTTTACTAAATTTACATTTAGTAAAAACATTTGGGTATTTTACAGACATATATTATCATTACCTCATTTCCTACTTTCATGGGGTTTGGAGCCATCAGCAGGTCAGAAAGTACTGTACACACAGTTAATGAAATTTATACTAATAAAAAAATTATGAATATCACTCTTCCATTCAATATATCATTCACAATACACTATGTAGTATCACTGATAATCAAACACTACCACACTCCAGCAACCAACGACTTCATAAGACTTGGTAATAAGTTTAAAGTGCTTCTTGTGAATTATCATATACAGTATATTACAAATGTATTAACTGTACTCCATTCTTAGAAACTGTCTCCACCCATGCCTTGACAGAACATATCATGTTTGTTGTCCATGCACTCATTCTTGTTTTCCAAACCAAAACTGATTGTATAGGTAAAAAAAAAATTGCAATGCATGCTCTCCATAAATGGCAAGAAGACACAAATCCGTAAAAGTAATGAAAGGATTTATGATGATAATCTCAAAGATTAGTACCTGTACAGCTATATACAGCACCTGTTCTTGCAGATGTTCTTGGGTTCGCTGTGTGTAAAGACGTGTGTGGCTTTTCATCCTTCCTTTGTTTATCACGATGTTCTGGCCTTTTCACCTCTGTTCCGTGGCATTCATGGGCATTGAAATCCTCGGTAGTTGGGAAAAGCAGGAAGCATTCTCCACACATGTATGAAGTTTCCTAGAAAAAAAGTACTGTACAGGTTTAGTTATCATAAACTAAAATTTCAATAATTTATTTGAGCCCTTCAACATACATTTTAATCTGAATCTTAAATTATCTTGAAAAAAAACACCATACAGTACTTTTAGGTGAATCCATTTGCTTGTATGTAAACACACAACATTACTGAATGAGCTCTGTTATCTGGAGTCTGCTGAACCATATATTTGGGCTATCCAACAAAAATTGAGTTCTGATAATTTTCTACTAAACATCCAAACAGAAATTTGGATAACCAGATACCTGGCTGGATAACACAAACTGGCAAAGTGTCCAAGTGAAATTCGGATAATTTTCTGACAAAACTTTCTCATATCTGAACAAATTTGGATAACCAGAGATTAAGTTACATGAAAGTTCAAGAACTACACATTTCAAGATCAATAGTACAACATAAGAAGACAAAGTACAACAAGGTAGGCTAATGTTTCTCTTAAATTATATTTTTTATTTAAAGTGTATACCTGGAGCATACCTAAAGAGGGTTTCGGGAGTTCTACTACTCCCCGAGCCTGGCCTTGGGGACTTGTGATAACTTAATCCAACAGGCTGTTGCTTGGGGTGGCCCGCAGGCCCACATATCCACTACAGCTAGGTTGGTCGAGCACTTGTTACAAGAATATGTCCTAGTGCCTCTTGGAATACATTCGCCTTCGTGTGTGGAAAAATAAGAATTATGGTGGATGTGGTACAAAAAATTGCAAATATGGTAATGTCTGGACTTCCCCTGTAAGAGTTCTGCTTATCCGAATGTCTGGCTTATTCGGCAGGGGGGTCATTCCCATATAATTCAGTTAAGTGAGCTTAGACAGTAGTTATACATCTGTACAAATCTATGGTATGCCTCCTTCTGGACTACTGTAACCAAGCATGGAGATGATATCTTCAGGAGATACCTGCTTTGGGGAAAGTTCAATGCAGTGTTGATGTAGACTACTTCTTTAAAAGCTCAAATGTATCACATACAAGGAGCAACGGCTTCGAGTTAAAGAAGCCATACTGTAGGACAGAAAACAGCAGATGTTTTTCATCCATTGGGTTATAAATCTTAAATGTCAAACCATTGCTGACATTCAGCGTGAAAAAACTAAATCTAGAGCGTGAGAAAATCATCAGAAACATTTGGGGAACCTTTGATAAGTCGCCGACTTCCTGTCCTCAACGAGGCAACTAGGGAGATGGTGGCCCTCAGGTAAATTCAGGTAAATACTAGACCTATACTGCTGTGAATCCCACCAATACCTTAGAACATACTACCACAATGTCACTTTTATTATTACGTACCACCACTTCCTCCGGAACATCTTCATACTCCTCTGTCTCCATGACAACCGTAGACTCCATCAGTTTAATAGAGAAAATAGATGAGACACACTGCCGCAATAGTTCTCAAGACTTGTTGTTGTGTTGATTTAGGGGCGACGACGATCGTGGGATCGGATGCGCCCGTTCTCAAGACTTCAAAACAAACCCACAGGGCGGTTAAACGCTGAGGCCGCCATGCCTGGCGTGTTGACGTCAGGCGCAGCTGGTACGCATGCGCGCCACCCACCCTCTGCGCATCGGCACGCAACCGATCCTTCTTCTTAATACACGCCTCTAACACCTGTTATATCAGTAACGGTGTTTGAGCTTTCATATCTTAAGATAATAAACGTATTGTTAATCAAGGTATTTCTAAATGGCAAACATAAGGGAAAACATAGGCAACGATTATTGAGGATGAGTACAATATATTTCGCCATTAAACCTAAGCGTATATCTATGCAAAAAACGATATGTCGCGTCGGTTGTTTAGCCAAGGTGCCCCTGGGTACACTAATAGATTTTCTTCAGTTACCTTACTATGAATTGTGGAGGAAAGATACCCCACATAGTCAATTTATGGATTCCCAAAGTTTTAATTTAAGCCTAGCAATTTAAATTTTTGTTGAACTATTTACATATTTTGTTCTGAGGTCGAGCGAAATACAGCATAGGGACATTTTTTTTTATTTAAACCTACAATTCTTACATTCTTGTAAAGCCAGTAGCACGCATAGCGTTTCGGACAGGTCCTTAATCTTAATTTTCCCCTCGAATACGACCCGCCAAATTGTTTAACAACCAGGTACCCATTTACTGCTGGGTGAACAGAGGTTACAGTTAAGGATTGGCACCCAGTTAACCTTCCCCGGCCTGGATACGAACCCAGGCCAAAGGGCTCGTGAATCGTCGGGCAAGTGTCTTACCACTGCGCCACGGGTACTATATTTTTTATTAAACTATAAAGTAAAACTGCTATAAAGTAAAATTCTGCTATCAGGATAATAACAAACTCTGCTTTCAGACAACACTCAGCCCCCTTGTTTAAATCCCTTAACATGCTGAACATAATCTCACTCCACAAATTCTCTTGTGTCAATTACATTTACAAAACCCTGTTCTTAAATGCAAACTCTGCTCTGAAACTCTCCCTGGACAGATATAATAGGACCCATTATCACCACACCAGAAATAAATATCTCTTTGATATCCTCAGAGTCAAACTTAATCTGTGTAAACACTCTATGCAAATAAAGGGACCTAGTCTATGGAACTCACTCCCTATTGAATTGAAAAGCTGTCCAACTTTTGCGTCATTCAAATACAAAACCAAAAAGTACCTAATTTCATCTTCACAGTTTCCTTGTGCTTCAAACTTGCACTGTATTTAGTGCTACCCAATCCCCCAATATTTATGTACCTAAGCCAAACATCTTTACCATTGTGATCATTGCCGTCTTCTTAATTTAATTTTTAATTTAATTTAATTTAATTTAACTTATATGTGCTATCAATATCCTGTATTGTGCCTATTAATCTTTGTTAAATTATCAATCAAGCTGTCAATGCTATCAATCAGAGCTATCGATGTGCTTTAATACACCTATGTAGCGAGTAAACATTATGTTCACTCCAGTCTCTCATTACCTTAATGACAAACTATTTAGCACTAATTGCGGACCTATAATCTTTTCCCTAATTACAGGTAGCAGTCTTTCCATCCTATTGGAGTAAGCTGAGGTGCAGTCATCAAATATAAGCAAGCGAAAAGCGAATAGCCGTATCTCTCTCTTGGGTGGTTTAATCTTAATCAATCAATCGAATAGTCATATCTTACGGGCTATTCATGCCCGTGCCACCTCTTGGGTGACTTAATCTTCATCAATCGATCAATCGAATATGTTGACCAGACCACACACTAGAAAGTGAAGGAACGACGACGTTTTGGTCCGTCCTGGACCATTCTCAAGTCAAGTCTCAAATCAGTCGAATAGCCATCAGTACAATTTCCAAAGTTAACTTCTATACAAACGCTTTGGATTTACCACACCTCTTCAACCTCAAGAATGTAGCACTCGGCGTGTACAGTTCCAACCGACCTCAAGACGCTACAGCTTCGACACAGAGCAGACAGCAGATTACGACCGCATCGAGCTACAACGCCCTCGCTCCCCATCGAGTTTAGACACTCACGATTCCCCATCGAGCTGCCATGCTCTCCCGCATAGAGCTCCGCGACTCCGGCCTTACTCGGCTCTCTGCTCTGCTCCAAGCTCTGTCTCGACGTCTACGACACTGCCAATAACTGACTAGTGTAATCAAGACTACTAAATAAATATAAAAACCACTAAACACTGGGTATCTAATCTTATTTATTTATTTATTTATGCATATACAAGAATGTACATAAGGAATGTGAGGATACAAATATGGTAATTACAGTCTTGTAAAGCCACTAGCACGCGCAGCGTTTCGGGCAGGTCCTTAATCTAAGAAAATTTTAAGGAGGTAAATACTTGCAAAATTTATAGACAAAAAATGATAACAGTTACATGAAATAAAAAAAAAAGAAGATGAGAGAAAATTGTAGGTACAGTATATTAAAGCACATAGGTAGCTAAGATTGATTGCAATGACAGCTTGAATGGTAGTTGACAAAAATTGGTAGGCACAATACAGCAGAAACAATATAAGATTGATTGCAATGACAGCTTGAATGGTAGTTGACAAAAATTGGTAGTCACAATACAGCATATGGCTAGCACATAAAAGAAGACAGCAATGAACACAACGATAAGGTTGTTTGATATTACATAAAAATTAGGAGATTGGGTAACACTAGGTACAGAGCAAATTTAAAGCTCAGTGTAGGAAACTAAGAAGATGAAGTTAGGTACTTTTTGGTTTTGCTTTTAAATAAGGCAAAAGTTTTACAGTTTTTCAATTCACTAGGGAGTGAGTTCCATAGACTAGGTCCCTTAATTTGCATAGAGTGTTTACACAGATTAAGTTTGACCCTGGGGATATCAAAGAGATATTTATTTCTGGTGTGGTGATAATGGGTCCTATTACATCTGTCCAGGGAGAGTTTCAGAGCATGGTTTGCATTTAAGAACAGGGTTTTGTAAATGTAGTTGACACAAGAGAATGTGTGGAGGGAGTTAATATTTAGCAAGTTTAGGGATTTAAACAAGGGAGCTGAGTGTTGTCTGAAAGCAGAGTTAGTTATTATTCTGATAGCAGATTTTTGCTGTGTGATGATGGGCTTAAGGTGGTTTGCAGTGGTAGACCCCCATGCACAGATACCATAATTAAGATAGGGGTAGATTAGTGCATAATATAGTGAGAGGAGAGCAGAGTTAGGAACATAATATCTGATTTTGGAGAGTATACCAACTGTCTTAGAGACTTTCTTAGTTATGTGTTGAATGTGGGTGCTGAAGTTGAGTCTCTTGTCTAGGAATAGGCCAAGAAACTTGCCATCATTTTTATTACTGATGTTAATGTTGTCTATCTGTAGCTGAATTGCATTTGATGATTTGCTTCCAAATAAGATGTAGTAAGTCTTCGATGTTTAATGTTAGTTTGTTCGTTGACATCCATAAGTGGACTTTTTTTAATTCATTATTCACAACATTATTTAGTGTATGTGGGTTGAGGTTTGAATAGATAAGGGTAGTATCGTCAGCAAACAATATAGGTTTGAGAATATTAGAGACATTAGGCAGATCGTTTATATATATAAGAAATAGAAGAGGTCCTAAGATGCTGCCCTGTGGCACTCCAACGGTAATTGGTAGAGTGGAAGAAGTTGTATCATTGATGGTTACATATTGGTGTCTGTCACTAAGATAGGATCGGATGTAGTCAAGGGCAAGGCCTCGAATTCCATAATGCTGGAGTTTAAGTAAGAGGTAGTTGTGATTAACAGTATCAAAGGCTTTTACCCAACCCAATCTACCCAATCTACCCAACAGAGCAACATACTCGTACGTTACACATACTAATCTCTCATTTTTTTCTTACAATGTACCTGTTACATTTTATAAAATTTGCTAGAATTTACCTACTTAAAATTATGTGTTAGATTAAGGACCTGCCCGAAACACTGCACGTACTAGTGGCTTTACAAGAATGTAAACACCACGCTATGTATCCTCACAAACCCAATGTACCTTCTTGCACATAAATAAATAAATAAATAAATAAATAAATAAATAAAACTATAAAGTAAAATGATGTTCATTATAAATGGGAACCGTAAATAAACATAATAATAAAATATTAATATAATTAGTATTATGCTGACAGAGTTCACATAAGAACACGATGAAAAAGTTCACATAAGAGCTTGATGACAGAGTTCACCTAAGGACACGTCGAGAGAGTTCACATAAGTGGCCACAGTAGAGTGCTGTGCATGCGTAAGTGGTGTGAACAAAATGCAAGGACACGTCGGAAAGGAATACATGAGCTTAACCTAAGGTGCTATAGTCCACAAGGGGGTAGTACTGGGATGGTGAACATGAACTACTAGGTAGTATGATATGGCCGAGGAATGCATGAGGGGGTGAAGGCGCAACAGTTAAGGGAAGGGAGAATGCAAGCAAGCAAGTAACTGGGTGAAGTTATACACAAACGTTAGAGTAAAGTTGCGTCAGCAGTCCCCGTGGCGCAGTGGTAAGACACTCACTCACCCGGCGCTTTGCAAGCACTTTGACCTGGGTTCGTATCCAGGCCGGGGAGGAATGATTGGGCGCTAATTCTTAACTGTAGCCCCTGTTCAACTAGCAGTGAATGTGTACCTGGTTGTTAAACGATCTAGCGGGTCATATTCAGGGGGAAAAAATAGGATTAAGGACCAGCCAGCCCGAAACGCCATGCGTGTTAGTGGCTTTACAAGAATGTAAGAACTCTTGTACATATAAATAAAAAGTATAAAAAGTGGAGGTGCTGGGAGATGGGTCCGACTTGACCCTACCCCCTCGGCAGCCCTTAAAATTATATTTGTCTATTATTTGTCTATTATATTTGTATTATTTGTCTGCGTCAAATCCGTCAAAAAAACCCAGATGCGATTCATCAGTGCTTCGTTAGAGATGGACTGATAAAGGTGAGAAAAACCGCAGAGGGCAAAATGTTCACAATTACTAAAGAAGAGAACCTCAACGCTTTCCTCTCCCAATGTGGTCTGTCTCAGCTCATTATCACTCCCAGTGAATTAACTTAATTAACCCCCTGTCAACTAGTGGGGCTAGGTTTCCTAAGTCTCATTGTTTCATTTTCTGACTTAATTTTTAA